GGGAGAAGAACCCTAGGGGTGAAGACTGGCAGGAAAGGTAGCAGGGGCTGCAGAAGGGCCTGGGGGGGTGGGGAGGCGTGACCCGCTGTACCATTTCATGAGAGATCTGAAGCAACGGGGTTGGCATGGGCCGTGGGAGGGACTGTGCGTCCCAACCGTAAGCTTTGCAGCTGCTGGGACCGGTGCTTAGAAGCTGCCTCAGGGTTCCGATCCTAGAGGGATATTTTTTATTTTAGTACCTATTTAAATATTTAATAACTAATAGTTGACTGCATGGGTGCTTCCCTTGTGGGATTCTCACCTTTCGCGAAAAAGACTCAAAGGGAGCCCTAGTGGTGTAGTAGGTAACTAGTGGGGCTGCCAACCCCTAGGTCAGCAGTTCAAAACCACCAGGCTCTCTGTGGGACAAACACGAGGCTTTTTACTCCCCTAAAGAGTTACAGTCCTGGAAATCCACAGGGGGCTGTTCTACCCTGTCCGACAGGGTTGCTGTGAGTCGGCATCGACTCCGTGGCAGTGAGATTGTTTGTTTGTTGATTCAGAAGACCCCACGCAGTGCCCCTCATGCACAAGCACCATCACCTCTCTGTCAGTGGAGGTCTGTGTGCAGCTATGAGGCCGAGCAGCTTTCAGGGGCACATCCAGCTTAACAGACACGAGGAAGAAAGGCCTGGCACTCTACTTCCCAAACCCAGCCAATGAAAGCGCTATGCATTTCATTCAACTGTGCACAGGGTCACCATGAGTCGAGGCCAACTCCACAGCAACCAGTGGCAACAATTGCTTGTAGACCCTAGTGCTGAGGTAATGATCCCTTCTCTTCCGAGGGCTGTGCCCAGAGGTGACTAGACCGGGAGCTCTGTGGGCACATGCAGCGGCGCTCACCATGCTGTCCCGTCTCTAGCACAGTGTTGGCACGTGGCAGGTGCTCAGTACATGTTTGTTAAGTGACTGAACGAATGAACCGGCCAGAGCCCAGAGTAGGTACGGCGAGGCTTACTGTGATGAACTTTATGGGGAGCGAGGGAAATAACACAGACACCGCCCCCCTCGCCGCCGCCTCTTTCCGCAGCTCCGCGTGCAGTTCTCCACAGACTCCAGGGTGCAGACGATGTTTGAGATCCTCCTGGACGAGAACAGCGAGGCTGAGAAGCGCGAGAAGGTGGGTGCTGGGAGACGCTCTCTGCCCGTCTCCCGCTCCCCGGGCAGAACTCCCCGGGCCCACTCCCATTACCTTGATCACTGAGTTTTGTCTGCCGCCTCCAGGTGAGTGGCTCACCTGCCTCATCCTAGGCCTGACCCAGAGAAGCAATGACGTGTCAAGCCATCAGACAGTGTCACAGAAAGGGTTCTCTTGAGATGTGAAAACGTTTATCCATAATCTCCTCCTCCACTCAGATTCGTTGTGTTTTACTTGTATGTGCTTCTCTAGTCCTAGTTGGGGGGGTTGGAACTGGACACTGGAGTGCTTCCCTTTTATAAGACCTTGAAAGGCAATGCCTGGGGGATTTGTTTTCGTGCTGTGGTCCCTAGATCCATTTTGTATGCAAATAGCTTCTATAACAGACTCTTGGGAGGACCTAATGAGTTGTTA